AGAAAGGGCACCCTTAAAAATGCTAAGCATGTCACTTTAAAAACCCAAACACAACGCATTCAACTGCAGAAAATTAAGATCTTCTAATTGCAGATTAGTGAGGCATACTCATAAGTCAATTAACACATTATGTGGGCCATCTATGGTTGGATTTTCCAGCTAGAAAACATTTTTTTATATTCATGCATCTACAGACAGGCCCAGATTTTATCGCAATACAGACAGTGGGGAAAGGAGTATTAAAGCATTCCAAAATCTCATCTGATTTTGATAATTTAAAACCCCTGCAACATTGCTATAAATCGGGTGCGGGATAGCAGAGTGAGTCCTACAGGGTGCTAACAGCATCACTCAGAGAATGATTTAGATTGAGACAATGGTGCAGAAACAGAGAGAAATTTTTGATAACACAATTTTGTTGATTGAACTGGCTCCCTCCTGTGACAGCTTCAAATTGAAAAGAAAGATGGGAGAGTAAATAACAGATTTCCCACATAAGGGATGAACAGCAGCATAAGGAGGTAAACAGTGTCTCTGGCCTCAGAGATTCTAGGTCTATACTGTAGAATGAATGCAGTTCTGGTCCTCACAAAGTTGTGAAACGCACTGTTTCATCTTTCTTTGGCAGGGTTTCTCAACCTAGGGGTCGGGACTCCTGGGGGGGGGGGTTTGCGAGGGAGTGTCAGAGGGGTCACCAAAGACCACACAAAGCATAGTATTTTCTGTTGGTCAAGGGGGTTCTGTGTGGGAAGTTTGGCCCAATTCTATTGTTGCTGAGGTTCAGAATGTTCTTTGATTGTAGGTGAACTATACATCCCAGCACCAACACCCAACTGTCAAGGTCTATTATCCCCAAACTCCACCAGTGTTTACATTTGGGCATATTGAGTATCTGTGCCAAGTTTGGTCCAGATCCATCATTGTTTGAGTCCACAGTGCTCTCTGGATGTAGGTGAACTACAACTCCCAAAAACTCAAGGTCAATGCCAACCAAACCCTTCCAGTATTTTCTCTTGGTCATGGGAGTTCTGTGTGCCAAATTTGGGTTCAATTCCATTGGTGGGGGGGGGGGGGGTTCAGAATGCTCTTTGATTGTAGGTGAACTATAAATCCCAGCAACTACAACGCCCAAATGTCACGGTCTATTTTCCCCAAGCTCCACCAGTGTTTGCATTTGGGCATATCATGTATTTGTGCCACATTTGATCCAGTGAATGAAAATACATCCTGCATATCAGATATTTACATTACGATTCATAACAGTAGCAAAATTACAGTTATGAAGTTACAACGAAAATAATGTTATGGCTGGGAGGGGGGGGGTCACCACAACATGAGGAACTGTATTAAGGGGTCATGGCATTAAGAAGGTTGAGAACCACTACTCTATGGATAAAGTGGAGAGGAAGGGAACATTCAAGAGTGTTTAAAAAGACCAGATTTTGATCCAGATTTTGTTTCCTATTTCATTTTGGAGAGCCAGAGTGCATCTACACTATAGATTTAGTGCAGTTTGACATCACTTTATCTGCCTTGCCTCAATCTATGCAATCCTTGGCCGTTGTAGCTTGACAAGACACCAATACTCTTTGCCATGGAAAACTGAAGACCTTGTAAATCTATAGTTCCCAGGTTTGTATAGGATTGAGCCATGGCAGTTCAAGTGGGGTCAGCCCACATTAATTCATCCTGAAGGACAGCAGTTTGAATCCACAAGACAGGGTGAGCTCCCGTTGGTCAGCTTCAGCTTCCCATGTGGGGACATAAGAGAAGCCTCCCACAAGATGGGCAATGTCTCTGCAGATGGCCAATTCTCTCACACCAGAAGCAACTTACAGTTTCTCAAGTCACTTCTGACATGTTAAAAAAACAGTGTAGATGCACCTGGATACGCCTTTTACCCTGGAGTATTTTCTGTCAGCCCCTGGTACAAACAGTGACTTTTAATTCCAGTTCCCCAGGAAGGTTTATTTCAAATTGGAAAAGCACAAGAACGAAACCTGTGACTTTTGAAGCAGTCTGGATGTGCCCAAAAACTGCCATGTGTGCCACCTTGAGCTTATGGGAGGAAAGGCAGAATGCAAACAAATTCCCCAACCTTATCCTTGTCTGAGGCCATGAAGTAATCTTGCAAATGCATTCACAGCATGTACTTGTGCATGTGCAAGCCTGAGTCAATTATCAAAAGCCCGAAGAAAGAAAAGGAAAATAGTATTTGAAAATATTCACTGCCAAGAGGCTGTGTTCTCCTGGTCACCTTAGAAGCTCAGAACTGATCGGAATGCCGTGCTGGATGAAAAGGAAGAATTCATCACTTTCTCATTAAATCAGGTTGCTTGCAAAACCATTGCTCCAGCTGGCATAAGGTTGGCACAATAAAATTGCACATACAGCAATCGAAGAGCCAGGTTGGCAGGTCCCCTGAATAACATTTTATGGCAGAATCCCTGGTAAACTAGACTGAAAATCTAGATATTCTCTCTGCTGCTGTCACCCATACAATTGTAAACAATTACCTTACATTTCAGTCACTTACTTAGCATATTCTACATATGAAGAAATGTAAGTGGCATAGGGAAAACATGTCCTAAGAGAGCTGTTTGGGTTTGTTTTGACATGGAATAGCTTTTTGTCCCACATCTTATAAGATATTGGGACAAAAATGACATATTTTAGGATTCCAAGATGCAGAAAAGCATAATTGACATGCTCTGATTTTTATGAGAAGGTTGCCAGTATATTATGAGAAGGTTGCCAGGACACAGAGGACCAGATAACACTGTTTTAGTGCTTTTATTCCACTTTAGCTGCCACAGGAATGTCATATGGAATCCTGGAATTTGCAATTTGTAGCAGGGCATGCATCTACATCATAGAATTAATGCAGTTTGAAACCACTTTAACTGCCATGGCTCAATGCTATGAAATCTTGGCAGCTATAGTTTATAAGGTCTTTAGCCTTCTCTGCCAAGTAGTGCTGGAGCCTCACGCTACAATTCTCATGATTTCATTGCACTGAGTCATGGGTGTTAAAGCAGTGTCAAACTGCATTAATTTTGCAGTGTAAGAGCTCTTGGACTTCACAAAACCACAAACACAAGAAGCGTGCACAGTATTGACATGGTAGTTAGAGTGGAATAATAGTGCTATAACAGTGGAGTGTAATAAGGACCTAAAACTGGGATTGCAAAGTGAACATTTAACTCTAAACCTGACTTTATTTGGAATATATTGTCGAAGGTTTTCATGGCCGGGATCACTGGGTTGTTGTAGGTTTTTTCAGGCTATATGGTCATGGTCTAGAGGCATTCTCTCCTGACGTTTCGTCTGCATCTATGGCAAGCATCCTCAGAGGTAGTAAGGAATAGTTTGTAATTCTGATGCTGTTAGAAACCCCCCTGAAACAAGGATTTTTTAAAAAATGTAGTTCCGACATTTAAACAAATTGGTCAACTATAATTATTTTATAACTACTGATATATGAACTATATTTTCATGTTCTGTTTTAACCATCAATTTCAAAGCAGCTTACGCATGACAAACTAGCAAAAACAGAGCAGACATCAATATTTCAAAACCAAGATTTTCTTTCTTTGCCAGCAGAATAAGCTGTGTTGAAATAAAACATTTTTTCTGTGTCACTTGAGTAGATTGTGTCCTCCCGATTCTGCATTAAAACTGAGACACTGTCAGCATACTATGTGTGCTTCAGCAGAAAGCAGCATATACACTACCAGTGAAGTCATTCTCAAAATGTGACAATGATACAGCACAATATACACACAAGAGCAGGCAGAGAGAAACTCAAAGAGGTGTAAGCATAGAAGACATGCTTAGGGAAAACACAAAATTTCAAAACAGCCGTATGAGGAATGGCCAAGCTTTGTGGGTAGAGAATGGTAAAAGTTTCCCCTTGACATTAAGTCTAGTCGTGTCAGTCTCTGGGGGTTGGTGCTCATCTCCATTTCTAAGCTGAAGAGCCAGCATTGTCCATAGACACCTCCAAGGTCATGTGGCCAGCATGACTGCATGGAGTGCCGTTATCTTCCTGCTAATGCAGTACCTATTGATCTACTCACATTTGTAGTTTTTGAACTGCTAGGTTGGCAGAAGGTGGGGCTAGCAACAGGAGCTCATCCCATCCCACAGATTCGAACCACTAACCTTCCGGTCAGCAAGTTCTGCAGCTTAGCAGTTTAACCTATTGCACCACCCCGGTTCCTGGGTAGGGAATACTGGCTGTCAAAAATGCAAAACAGGGATCAGTGAGAACACACATAGCTTACATAGAACGAAACCTTTCTTCCTGGAGGTTCAGAGCTCCCTTTTCCTTTCACATGTATTGAAAACAATACATGTGAAAGGGATCATGAGTCAACAGTGTGATGCAGCAGCTAAAAATGCCAATGTGATTCTAAAGCACATCAACAGGAGTATAGTGTCTGGAAGGAGGGAAGCCATAGTCTCACTCTATTCTGCTTTGGTCACATTTCATCTGGAATACTGTCCATCACAATTCAAGAGGGATATTAACAAGCTGGAAATGTCCAAAATAGTCGAAGGCCCAGAAGCCAAACCCTAGGAACAGCAGCTTTGGGCGCTGGGTGTGTTTACCTTGGAGGAGGTTGAGAGGAGTCATGATAGCCAGGTTTACATATTAAAAGGATTGGAATCACATTGAGGAGGGGGGCAAGCTTGTTATCTAGGACATGGAGCAATGGATTCAGATTGCAGGAAAAGATATGCCACCTAAACATCAGGAAGAACCTTCCTTAGAGTATGAGGTGTTATGCAGTGGAATAGTCTTCCTGGAAGTGCAAAGGAATCTTCTTCTCTGGAGGTTCTTAAGCAGAGGCTAGATAGCCATCTGTCAGGAGGACTTTGATTTATTTTTCCTGCATGGCAGACTGGGGATTGGACTGGATGGTCCTTGTGGTTTTCTCCAACTATGGTTCTATGTCATCACACCTCCCACCACACCAGAGTGAACCACTACCTACCTTTCTCAACAGCTGAGACTCCCATGGATGGCTGGGCCAAGTCCGCTTTGGTTTCCCACTTGCCTTCATCCATGTGGTAGGCCTCCACAGATGCCAGGGGTCTCTGGATGGAGTCCACCCCTCCAATCACCAGCACCTCCTTGCCCAGCATCACTGCCGCAGCCCCTGCCCTTGCGGTGGGCATAGAAGGCAACGCTGTCCACTTGTGGGATACAATATCCAACATTTCCACCGTGTCCAAGGGCTGGCCCTGCTGGCTGCAGCCACCTGCCACAAACAGGTGTCCATCCTGGTAGGTTGGGCTGCAGTAGACCCGACAGGTTGGCATTGGGGGGAAGGCCTCCCAGAAGAAGGACTTGGCATTGGCGGCTTCCATTTTGCCCGGCGGCGTGGCATCTCAGGAGGCAGACATAGCAGCAGCCCCTATGCTGACTGGCAGTCTTAGTAGGGCAGCTTTCCAGAGATTGGTGTGGATTAGCCTGAGACAATGTGAAGGGCTTACTTTTAGAACAACTTGGATTCCACATACACAAGGCATGAGTAGATCCGGAAGCAAATATGGCTGCGCAAAGGGTCCAGGGTCTCCTGAGCGAGCTGGCAAGGAGCGCCGTGATGCAACTGGAACGCTGCCTCCAGAAGGAGGGGAACCATTCCTTTCCAGAAGATCTTGAAAAGACGCTTTGTACACCCTCCCCTGGCCTACAATGCTGAGGACATAACCATCAGTAGGTCAGACAGTCATGGGAAGTAGGACTCTCCAGAAAAGTTGTTTTTTGCACTGTGTGCCTCTTGTATTATCTTCGTACTGATGATCAATCCTGCAGCAATCTCCACGAAGCAGAAAGGAAACAGGGGACACAAAAGAAAAGTATACATTTATTTAATTCCTTTTGATAGAGAAATTCTGATATAGTGAAAACGAGCCATGCTGGATTACATGTCATTCACACACTGTTCTTCATGTATTGGCACCAGGATTTAACCCCAGACAGGAATGACTTTTGGCTGCCTGGGCTTTAGTCTGCATTCACACATTCCCAGCGCCATCTTTACTCTGTCTATGCGATCAGGCAGCAGCGCATAAGGCCCACATGGTCTACCCCAGACCTTTCTTATATAACATCTTTTTCCTGAGTTGCATCTATACTATAGAATTCAAGTTTGACACTGCAATAGCTCAATGCTATGGAATCAGAAGAGTTGTAATTTTGCAGGGTCTCTAGCCTTTCCTGTCAAACTACAACTCCCAGGATTCCATAGCAATGAGCCATGTCAGTTAAAGTTTCCATTCCATAGCATAAACTGCATTAATTCAATGTACATGCATCTGTAGTTTCTAAAACTGCTTTTTGGCAGGGGGTTGGACTGGATTTATTTATTTATTTACTTTGCTTATATACCGCTGTTCTCAGCCCGGGGGCGACTCATGGTCCACAAGGTCTCTTCCAACTCTATGATTCTAAGTGGTTCCCTGTGAACCTTCCCAAAGGTGCCTAGTTTGTTTCTAGCTCTTTGTCAGACTAGTTGCAATTTTCATTGATTCAAGAATGAGCAGCCTTTCGCTCAGGCATGGGCAAACTTCAGCCCTCCAGGTGTTTTGGACTTCAACTTCCACAATCCCTAACAGCCTACCGGGTGTTAGGGATTGTGGGAATTTAAGTCCAAAACACCTGGAGGGCTGAAGTTTGCCTATGTCTGCTTTAGCCTCCATATGACTTCAACTCTCAAACAACCTCGCCAATATGGCTAATTGTAAAGTATTACGGGAGTTGTAAAGGCATCAGATCCTATCTGAACTTGGAGGTTGAATAGGGTCAGCTCTGGTTAGTACTATGATGGGGGACCATCAATGAATACCAGATGCCATAGACGTATATCAGAGAAAGGTACTGTATCCCTTCACTTATTTTTTCATGTCAGGAGCGATTTGAGAAACTGCAAGTCATTTCTGGTGTGAGAGAATTGGCTGTCTGCAAGGATGTTGCCCAGAGGACACCTGGATGTTCTACCATCCTGTGGGAGACTTCTCTCATGTCCCTGCATGAGAAGCTGGAGCTGACAGATGGGAGCTCACCCTACTGCCCGGAGTCACACCTCTGACCTTTCAGTTAGCAGTCCTGCCAGAACAAGGGCTTAATCCTTTGCGTCATATGGGCTCCTTGACTAAGAAAACCCTATGAAATTATTGGAGTTACCATAGTTCAAAGGGCAATCTGAATGTATTTACAAACAATGTAAACACATGGAAGATCAAAGATTCCTCGGCTATGTTCCATTCCTTTGCATACAAAATCAGGATGGTTAAAGTCATGGTTATGTTACCTCTCTTGCTGAATTAGATTAAAAGTCTATGTGGTCCAATATTCTATTTACACAATGACCAACCAGTTCCCTGATTCTTTACAAATGTACATAGTGAACTACCAATCAACATTTATGGGTGTTGGACGTACTAATACTTCTTCTGAAGTGCATGGGACAATAGAAACAAATGGGTTTAGGACTGGAGGACAATGCATTATAATTCTGCAACACTCCCAATGACCTTAATAATATTAGCTTAGTCTCCCGCCTCCAGAAAAGCGACCCACAAGTGTCTGGAGGGCAGCACCACTGAGTGCCAAGATGGCCCTTGTCAAACAAATCGCAGGCACCCCAAGAGGAGCCACCAATCCTATCTGGTGTATCTGTACTTTGGCGGAGGAACAACAAACGGAGAGTGGGTAGAGAAACAGAGAGAGAGAAAGACTTAAGTAAATGTGAAAGGTGCCTGCTGGGATGTAAGTCAGCTTCAAAACACATTTTCTGCAAAATTACAGCACTGAAGAGGGTCACTAGAGGATAAGAAAGAGATTCCGGATGCAAAGATAATAAGAGCAAGAATGAGGAGGTTGTAGTGCATTGCCCAGAAGTATGTTGGCTATGATCCAGACCTGGGAAAATGTTGGTTTTGCAGGTTTGCAAGATGGAATTTCCCACCCACCTGGGGATATTGGGTCTGGCCCAACACATGTGATACGTGACCTTTTTGTGTATCCAAGTGTTAACCGGTGCTCATTGCTTATCTCAGTAGCCAATCATTAGTGCTCAAAGGCAAGAACAGAAGCAAAACACTACCAATCTTGCATTTAACAATAACACTATCTAACACGATTTTTGTCCCTGGGTTTGAAATGTCATTTCCTAATTGGTTCTATCATAAAAACATCGAAAAGGTGCATTAAACTGCAAAAACTTTGATTTTCAGGGCATCCTGCAGCACATTTTGCTATAGCTTTTCAATGGATATCTCACAGAGTCTCAATCAATTTAACATAGATTGTGGCAACAACAAAAAACAAAGTTTCTAGGGTATAACTTTCAAAGTAAAGACCGCACAATTAAACAGGAAATAATACTTTCAAACCAGGAACAGAAAATGTTTCAAATTTTTGTTACATAGTGCAATATGCCTTGCAACCAAGTAGGGGGAAAGAAAAAATGCAATCTCCTGCAATTCAGAAATAACGCAATGAATACTAGGGCCACAGTGGTCCCAAAGCTATTTCTCCAAAAGTCCCCATGCCTACCACTGAAACTTTGGGTGCTTCCACACAGCCATATAACCCAGAATATCAAGGCAGAAAATCCCACAATATTTGCTTTGAACTGGGATATCTGAGTCCACACTGCCATGTATTCCAATTCAAAGCAGATAATGTGGGATTTTATTCAGCTGTGTGGAAGGGGCCTTAAGTATATCCAAACCCCTCCAAAAATGTCAATCTGCATTAATTCTACAGTGCAGATGCAACCCCTGACTTCTATTCCTAATAATTTTGACAGGGTTATTATAATATACTACAACTTCCTAAGCGCAAGGTAAAAGGGATTTTTTAAAAAAACTTGTCAAAATAGAGCATGAAAATGCAGTTGATATACTTAAACAAACTTATTCGCTATATTTATTTTATAATGACATGAACCATATTTTCATGCTCTATTTTCACAATCAATTTCAAGGCAGTTTTGTGGCTCTGTGCTGGAAGAGTCTTAGCCACTCTACATAAACTGGAGTGCTGAACAAACGCAATTAGCCGTCCCTCCACATTTGCAGATTTGATTATTCATGGATTTGATTAATATGTTCTTTCTAGGAACCTCTAGGTATTCCAGGGGCGACTTCTGCCAAAAAGGGATCACAGGGTCATAACTGGAGAATGTCGAGATTTCTGGAGAGAACACCATTTCTAAAAATTTTAAGGTCATCCAAGGCGATTCTATGATCATGTAGACTAAAGGAATTAAATCATAAGTCATCCTGAAGGACCTTAAAATGTCTAGACAGGTAGGATCTCAGGTCCAAAAAAATTAGTGGGTATTTATTCACAATTTTATCTTTCCCCCAAAAGTGGAGGAGTAAATGTCGTAACAAGTGGTGAGCAATATCAATGCATGCACATGAACTCTTATGGCAGGCATGGGAAAACTTCAGCCCTACAAATGTTTACTTCTTGGGAGGAGAGCAATGTCCAGTCTCGATAAAATAGTGTAGAGTAGAGACATCACACTGGCAACAAAGATCCGCCTAGTCAAAGCCATGGTATTCCCTGTAGTAACCTATGGATGTGAGAGCTGGACCATAAGGAAGGCTGAGCGAAGGAAGAGAGGTGCTTTTGAACTGTGGTGTTGGAGGAAAATCTGAGAGTGCCTTGGACTGCGAGAAGATCCAACCAGTCCATCCTCCAGGAAATAAAGCCGACTGCTCATTGGAGGGAAGGATACTAGAGACAAAGTTGAAGTACTTTGGCCACATCATGAGGAGACAGCAAAGCCTGGAGAAGACAATTATGCTGGGGAAAGTGGAAGGTAAAAGGAAGAGAGGCCGACCAAGGGCAAGATGGATGGATGGCATCCTTGAAGTGACTGGACTGACCTTGAAGGAGCTGGGGGTGGTGACGGCCGACAGGGAGCTCTGGCGTGGGCTGGTCCATGAGGTCACGAAGAGTCGGAAACGACTGAACGAATGAACAACAACGCAAATGTTTTGGACATCATTTCCCACAATTTCCAACAGCTGGTAGGACTACTGGAACACTCTCTGTGTGGGGCTGCCTTTGAAGATAGTTTGGAAGCTTCAACTGGTCCAGAGATTAGTAGCCAGTTTAGTAAGTGGAGCACCGTTCTGGGAGAGAACCACTCCCATGCTACGGCAGCTCCATTGGCTGCTGGTCTGTTTCCAGCAGCTCTAAATGGCTTGGGTACAGGCTAATTGATGAATAGCCACTTTTAGTATTATGAAGCGAGTAGTTTAAGATTGGTTATAGAAGGAATGATAAAAATAGAGGGAGTAGTTTGGCTAAGAAAGACCAACTCAGACACTGCAGTCATCAGAGGAGGCCATGCTCTCGGTCCCACCTCGTCTCAAGCATGGCTGGTGGGAATGAGAGAGGGGGCCTTCTCCGTGGTCAGCCCACCTCTGGAACTCCTGCCCAAAGGAACTAAAGATGGTCCCTTCCTCCTTGCCTTTAAGAAACAGCTGAAGACATACTTTTGCTCACTGGCTTAGGAGGAAGAGTAATAGGTAATGACATTGCTATTGTACCTCTGAGTAACATCCGTACCTGGGTCCTGTTTGCCCCACTAGCTCAGTTGACATCAAGGAACTCTGTTGACTCTGGGAAAGTGATGCTTCTTTTTGATGTTTAGTTTTATGAGGGTGTTATTTTTTGTTTTTCCTTTTTTATTTCAATTATGATCTTATATATTTTACTAGTTATTCCCTTCAAATTTTCATGTTCCTCTACAACCCTTCCATTTTGTATTATTTGTTCAAATTGGTTAATCTT